TATATATATATATATATACACACATACATAATATTAATTTTCAATAACATACGTAAATTTATATGAACTATATATAATATTAATATCATTTCTAGTATCTTAACAAAACTTTAACGGAATAGCATTCTGTTTTGTAAAGAATAATATTGTAAAGAATAATATTTTCCTTAAATATGAGATTTTATTAATGCTGAAATTTTCCCAAAAAACTTAGTTTGCTGATTAAGGCTCATATTTATGCTATATAAACATTAGATTGCAAAAATGTTTGATTATACACGAACGCGATCCTATGCTAAAAGCATAAAGTCGTCGGACTATCCGTAGCTTCTTTGATATCGGAATTTTCGAAATTCGGGAATACTTTCCGGCGGGGACGAAGACGCTGATGGTGACTTCCAAAGAACTTTATCGTTCAGGTAACTTAAAGGAGTCCCGAGCACTTTGAAAGCAGCACTCCGCTGCACTTACTCGGGACACGTAATGCCGTGAGTACGGATTTGTTGCAGTGACACGCTTTCTGCATTACCAAGAGCTCGTTGGGTACGGACACCAACCCAACATCCTTCGGCTCTTCTGAAGACGTATAACAGCTGGTGAAAACCGCACGATTCACAGTTATCATGTGGTTGAACGAAAAAAAAATTCAGATAAAAATTATCACACTAGTTTTAGATCTATAGAGACTTGCGTTTTGTTTCCAAGTATATCTATATCTAAGAATGACAATTTCTTTTTTATCCTTTTTAAAAAGAATCTTTAACCGTCTTCCATTTTATAGTCAGTAAAGAGATTTGAATATGATTAAAGATATATCCGTCCCAAATATAATGTAAAAGTTTCAAAATTTAATTTCAAAATTTTTAAGTTAAATAACATAAGTTTCATCGACACTATTATAACGCGCAACCGCAAGCTCTCGCAGCATTCAAGTGATAATGCTCTTCACTTAGCGCCCGAGTCAGCCCTTTGTAGCGAACATACCGAGAGATAAAAGCAGAAGGCGTTTATATGCGCCTTATGCAGTTTATATGCGCGCGTTATATGTAAAACTGTATGTATGCATATATATATATCTATGTAACTGAGAATGCTCGTTTTCCTTTGAAAACGGAAATCCGTTATATTCGTCTTCTTCCTGCATCCTTTCAGCCACAATACCTTATATTCTCCTTCGTTGCGGCAAAGAGTGTTAATGTAATTCAAAATCTACTTCAGTATAACCGCGTCGTCTCTTCTTCGTGAAAATTTAATTCAATTCGCTGAACTTTTCATCTCGACTTACAGCCGCGTGCTCTCATGTATTTTTCATATTATCATGTCTACCTTAATTAATCTATCTGCTAAAATACTGGGTATAATGGATAATTCACGTGTACTCCACTACGATTTTAACTCGAATCTCCACTAGACGAGACTGAGACTAGAAATTTTATCGAACTCGTAATATTATAGCGATGTGC